AATCCCCATAACTTCTGGCTGTAAAAACTAGTGGGGATTGAGGCTGTGGAAGACAGAAACTTCTGGAGTCCCAGGCAGTTCCTCTTAAAGGGCCTGCACATGGACTTACTTGGACTCACTCCCTCTGAGCTCCAGCACTGGAGCAGTAGCTTGAAAGCCACCAGAGGAATACAGGGAGAAACTAAAGAGTCTGGCATCAGCGTGAGAGCTGGTAGGCAGCTTATCCCAGGCAGAAGTCCTGGCAGAGGCCATTTTTCTTTTTCTTAGACCTCCCCCTAAAGAGCCAGCAGGCAGGCGCCATATCTGAGAATTCATCAAACTGGCTCTTGCTGTTTGCCCCACCCTGGTGATTTCTTGAGGCTCTGCCTCACCCAACTTTCAGGCCCACCAAAGTCCAATCACCCTGGCACCTTGATCATGGACTTCCTAGCCTCCAGAACTGTGAGAAATAAAATTCTGTTGTATATAAGACACTCAGTCTATGCTATTCTGTTATAGCAGCCAGAATGGACTAAGACAGTCCCCAGTGATTCCACCACCTGGTATTTGCAGCCTTGTAGTCCCCTTCCACACTGTAAAAGGTTGGTCCATGTGATCAATAGTACATGGCAGAAGCAATGGTTATGTCACTTCCAAACTCAGGCTATAAAAGACACTGTGACTTCTAGCTTGGTCACTCTCTTTCATTCTTGTATCACTTGCTCTGGCCATGAGTTGCCATGTCATGGGCAACTCTGTGGAAAGGCCTGTGTGTGTGGTGAGGAACTGAAGCCTCCTGCCATTAGCCATATGAGTGAGTTTCACAGATTCTTCCATCTAATTGAGCTTTCAATGACCATTTCGCTCCAGGTGGCATCTTGACTACAACCTCACAAAAGATCCTGAGCCATCTACACTGCCTAGATTGCAGCCCCTCAGAAAACTGTAAAAGAATGCATAGTTGTTATTTTAAACCAACAATTTTGGGGTAATTTGTTACTAGTAATAGATGCTAACACAGTAATTGCCTCAAATTTCTACACACTTGATTTTAAAGGCTGTCTAGACTAATGCATTTCCCGTAAATATTTTTATCACAGAATGGCAAAAGAGGATTAGGGTGGCTTCAACTGGAAATTGGGGACTATTCTCAACTGAACTTTGATATTGAAGGTCTATAATAATCATAATGGCTTCAGGATGAAATAACTCACACCCTGCTACCTTGAATTTCCTTATCATTTAATGGAGCAATAGAACTGTAACATGCATTCATTTTATCCTGGACCTTACCCTAGTAAACATGTAGGAGCTCTGACCTATTGACCAAGTACCAAGATATCCAGTAAAACACAGACCTTTCATTGTTTCAATAACCATCACCACCATCTATCCCCAGAACTCTTTTCATTTTATAAAACTAAAACTCTATACCCATTAAATAATTCTCCATTCTCCCCTTCTCCCCAACTCTGGTAACCATCAATCTGCTTTCTGTGTCTATTATTTTGACTACTCTAAGTACTTCATATGAATAGAATCACACAATAGAGTTCCTGGACCCAATTCCAACGTGGGGGTGGGTTCCCCATACCAACAAGCTATTCTCACATGCTAGTAGGGTAACAAAGAATTAAACTCAATTCTGACACTATCTACTCAGAGACAGCATCAGATTCCACAGGTAAAGGGGTCGGTCCTACCATCCCCCAACACACACACTTCATATGCGAGACACAACCTAGGTTACCTGTGCTTCTGGTCAAGTGGCTACAGATTGGAGGTTCCAATGACCCTTACTTGGGTTCAATTAATTTGTTAGAATGGCTTGGAACTCAGGAAAAATCTGTTTATTCACTAGATTACTGATTTACTACAAAGAATATTAAAGGAAACAAATAAGGAGCCAGATGGGGAGATACATAGGGCAAGGTCCTGAACAAAGGAGCTTCTGTCCTCATGGAGCTTGGGACCTGTCACTGTGGCACATGGACGCCTTCTTGCTCCCCTGCCATGGCTGGTGTGGCTCAGTGGACTGAGTTCAGACCTGTGAACTGAAACATCACTGGTTCAATTCCCAGTCAGGGCACATGCCTGGGAAGCCTTCTGGCTCCCCACCTTGGAAGCTCTCCCAAACACTCTCTTTGGTCTTTATGTAGGCTTCATTGCATGAGCATGACTGATTAAATCATTTGCTGTTGGGTGACTGAATTCAATCTCCAGCTCCTTCCCATCCCAGGAGGTCAGGGGTGGGACTGAATATTTTCACCCTATAATCACTTGGCTGGCTTCACTGGCAACCACTCCTCCTCCTTTGGTGCTCTCCAAAAGCCACCTCATTCACAATACAAAAGACACTTTTATCACTCTTAAGCCTTGGGAAATCCCAAGGTTTTCCTGAGCTGTGAGCCAAGAACTGTGGTGAAGACCAATATATATGAGAAATGTATATTTCTTATAAAGCACATCACACAGAGTATTTGTCTTTTTGTGACTAGCTTATGTCACTTAGCATAATGTCCTCAAGGTTCATGCATGCCATAGCAATAGCATATGTCAGAATGTCCTTTTTTAAGGCTGAATAATATTTAATTACATATGCCACATTTTGTTTATCCATTCATCTGTCATTAAACATTTGGGTTGCTTCTACTTCCTGGGTATTGTGAATAGTGCTGCTATGAACATGGGTGTACAAAAAGATATCTCTTCAAGGCTCTGCTTTCAGTTCTTTTGTGTATATGTAACCGAATGCAGTGGCTGCTTGCTGCTGTGAAAGCCAGTACTTGAGAGGCAGGTGCCAGCCACCTGGAAGATGAGGGACACATGTCACAAAACCCATTTCCTGGGAAGATGGGGACTCACTTCTCAAAGCCCATCTCTACCTCTCAGTGGAGACAGAGGTTTTTATAAGGAGGGAGAGGGGGAAAGAACAAAGAGACCAAGGGAAGGGGTTGCAAAGTTCTCCACATGCAGACCAGCACAGTCCATTCCGATGAGGCAAGTGAAGGTCCAGTGTGCACCGTTCCGGTTTAGTCATCCTGGCTTCATGTCATCCTGGCTTCACAGCTGAAGGTCAGCAAATCTGCCAGAGCTGGGATGCCTGAAGGTCAGAGTCTGTATCTTCCGAAATTAGTTTCTAGGATTCTTGTACAAACATGCTGTTCATCTACAAGCTACATATTAGTCAGTCAGCATTTACAAAAACAAAGTCAACAGAATGGTGGGGTGGGTTACAATTCTCTGTCACAATTTTCCACTGTCACATATATATCCACAAGTGGAATTGCTGGATCATATGATAATTCTATTTTTAATTTTTGGAGTAAATGCCATACTGTTTTCCACAGCAGCTATACCATTTTACATTCCTACCAACAGTGCACAAGAGTTCCATTTTCTCCACATCGTCACCAACACTTGTTATTTTCTTTTTTTTTTAAATAGCAGCCATCTAATGGGTGTAAGGTGCTAACTCCTTTATTTTTATTTTCCTTTTATAGATGACAGAACTGAAGAACCAAAAAGTTCAACAAGGGCTCACAATCATTAAATGTCAGAGCTAGTATTTGAACTCAAGTTATTAACCAATACGTTAAAATTCTTGCAAGGCAGAGGTTCCAAAATCTCCCAAGAAGAAGATAAAGGGGGTCCAGGGTGAACTCCCACCCAGTAAAGGGCAAAATGATTAGTAGCAATTTAAATTTATCTTTCTCCTGATAATGTTCTCCCAACCCTGGGAGGCTGAACTTGCCAGGAAACTGCAAATGTTCTGGGCATAGAACTACTTTTCCCCCTTTCTCCTTAAATAAACTTTGTTCAGAATGTCCATCAGGGACTAAGTTTGGAGTTTCGTACTGCTCTTGTTTCTGTATTGTCTAGTCAGGCAATCTAAAAACAAATTTTCCTAATGTTCTATCAGTCATCCATATGGCGGTCATCTTTTTAGTCACTCTAGGAATCAAAACACCTTCAACTGAAAAGGGATCCTGGCCAACTACCCAAACACTCATGTGTTACCTTTTATATCTAGATTAGTCAGCAAGGGCTGGTCTCAGAGGAACTCCTTCCTTCAGAACAGAGGTGACATGTGAGATTTAAGAACCTGGGCCTTAGTATATGGCAGAGCTTTACTCTTTGAAACTCTGCTGGCTACTTGACGTAGAGTAAGTAACTCAACACTTCTTAGCCTCATACAAATCAGGGATGACAAGCCTGGAGGTGACGCTCAGGGAGCACCTAGCACGCAGAAGTTACTAAGTAAATGCTGGTAGTGTCATTGCTTTAGTCAGGGAACCAGGACCAACAACACAGTACATCCTAAGTAGTTACTGTTGAGAAAATATCGATTATTAAGAACATATTCTAGAAAAGATGTGTAACAGATTAACGACCACAGAACATGCGACACACTTCACTATAAGGTTCGCTCTTAATGTAAATATATAGAGCTAGTGTGCTGGAATCAGGTATCAGGTGAGACTCCACCAGGAGCGACTTAGAGTTCTGAGCTGTGGCACCCCCACGTCCTAAATACAGGTTATTAAACAGTACTAGAAACATCTCCATGTTTAGTGCGTTTCTTATGTGTATAATTAGGCAAACTATATAAAAGAAAAATATTCCTGGGATGCGTGTGTGTGTGGGCCTGCAACCTGCGAGAGGCGTTATAGTTTGAAAGCGAGCCCACCCTGTGAAGACGTGCCCTCCGAGTTCCGGCAGTGGCTGCGTCTCAGTCCCAGTCTAAGAGTATCCACCCCGTCGCGGAACTGGCCTGGTGGTGGCTTCTCTCCAGACAATGACCTCGACGAAAGGGCCTCTAGAAGGTGCTAGGGACCCAGTCGGTCTCCGCCCGGCCGCGCTCGGGCCCCAACCCGCAAGTGCCGCCTTCATCTCCCATGAGCCTCTTTGGCTGTCACTCTTGGGAAAGAAACTGGCGTCTGCGCTGAGGCGGCAGTAAAGTACGAATTGTCGAGGGCAGCGGCTGTTTGGGACGGGTGGGAGGCGGGACTTCCGCTCCCTCAGGTTTCGTCATCAGGAGGCGGAAGTGCCGCGGGGGCGGGAAGGTTGTAGAGCCTCACGTTGGGCTAGGTTTGCCGGTCTTTAAGTGGTCGCGCCCCCTTGGAGAGGGCGATCCGACGGGGAGGCCGTCCTGGGCGCACGCGTATCCCCGGTAAGTAGGACCGCTTGGCGGCGCCGGGGGACCGAGGTGTGCGGCTCCGGTGCTGACCTGCTGCCGTTGACTCTGTTGCCACTGGCCGTTGGCCTCTCCGCTTTCCTTGTTTCCCAAAGTTTCTCACTCCTCCTCTTTCGTCTCGGCCGCAGCCCCTGCCCAGCCTGCGCTCCACGCCTGCCTGCAGGGAGCCTTCTGTGGTGCGGGTCCAGCCCTTTCACATCCCTGATTGACGTTGACCTTCACCCGATGCGCCCTCCTAACCGGGCTTCAGCCGCAGGAGACACCTAACCATGGTTTGTTCAAAACCGACACCTGTTTGCTAGTCCTCGTACTTTCTCGGGCTCCCCTGAAGGTGTCCCTCATCACGCCACGAGAACCATCCCCTCTCTGCTTCCAGAGCTCTGTTAACGTCTTTTAAAGAGCGCGTTGGTTAAACTTTTTTAGTGTGGTTGCTTGAGTGAGACTATATTTTCCCACCTATTATATGTTCCTAGAGGGCAAGACTAGGGTGTTGCTTATTTGGGATCTCCCTTCGTTTCCTTTTTAGCTTTCAGTGTGCATAATTGTGGCTGGGTACGTTCCCTCTCATTTAAAAAAATAATGTTAATTGTTATTTTATTACAGTAGTCCGTTTTCCCCGCTTTGCCCTCCTCTGCCCATCACCCCCCCTCCCCCAGTCAATGCCCACACTGTTGTCCCTGTTTGTGGCTCACTCATACAAGTTCTGTGTCTAGCCTCTTCTTGCCACAATTACACCCTTCCCCCCTCCCCTCTGGTCGCCGTCAGTCTGTTCCATGTTTCGATGCTTCTGGTTCTATTCTGCTGGTTAGTTTATTCATTAGATTCCTCTTATAGGTGAGATCATATGGTATTTGTCTTTCACCCCCTGGCTTGTTTCACTTAGCATAATATTCTCCAGCTCCATCCATGCTGTCGTGAAAGGTAGGAGCTCCTTCTTTCTTTCTGCTGCATAGTATTCCATTGTGTAAATGTATCACAGTTTTTTGATCCACTCATTTACTGATGGGCACTTAGGTTGCTTCCAGCACTTGGTTTTGTAATTGTGGTGCTGTGAACATTGGGGTGCATAGGTCCTTTTGAACTGGTGTTTCAGGATTCTTAGGGTATAATCCCAACAGTGGAATCTCTGGATCAGAAGGCAGTTCCATTTTTAGTTTTTTGAGGAAATTCCCTACTGTTTCTTACAGTCGCTGCACCAGTCTGCATTCCCACCAACAGTGCACTAAGGTTCCCTTTTCTCGGCATCCTCACCAGCATCCATGGTTTGTTGATCTGCTTATGATGGCCATTCTGACCCATGTGAGGTGATACCTCACTGTGGTTTTAATTTGTGTCTCTCTGATGGCTAGTGATGTTGAGCATCTTTTCATAGGTCTAAGAACCCTCTGTATATACAGTTCTCCTTGGAGAAGTATCTATTCAGGTCCTTTGTCCATTTCTTAATTGGATTGTTTGTCTTCGTGCTGTTGAGTCAGATGAGTTCTTTATATACTGGGTATGTTTTTTAAGTGAATCGAAAGGGACCACAGATGAGTGATTTTTCTTCCTAACACTGTGATTGTATTGATGTTATTGATTGATACATTTGGTAGTATTTGGTAAACAACCTAATGATATATTAAAGACAGTAATGCTAAATGTTGCATCAACAGCCGCAAGAATAAACATTTAACCTTCATGCTCTAATTAAACACTTAAGGAACTTGCAGAGTTGGTGCTTTTAAGTCTGTGTTTTTTTTCAGATGTATGTTTCTGAAGAGATGAAAAAACTGCAAATAGTTCATTGTAGGAAGGCTAGCTGTGCCTGACAACTTTTAATTTGTTATTAAAGTATGGTGCATTTTTTTCCAGGTGATTGTGAAGTGCTGAGCAATTGCCACTGAACATAGTTGAAACAGAAAATAGGAAGATGGCAGCAAACTCTTCAGGACAAGGTAAAGCATGTTAGAATTTATTAGTAGGAACTCTTCCCCCACATAGTAAATGTATTTTAATAGAAAATTTGGCATGGAGCAGTTACTGTAGCCAGAATAAAAAATGAACAGCAAAGTAAAACCCCATATTTGAAGCAAGTCCAACATTCTATCAGATATATAATGTCCTTAATAGCTATTAATCCTATATTTTAATGTTAGGAGTATTGATGTTGTAATCCGTAGGTCCTCTTCTGAATTCTGTGTTTCTTGCTCTTTTACTTGAAATCAGAACGCTTTTAAAGAAGCTACAGTGTCGCCAAAGTATATCCATACCTGTATCTTCATTTGCTCTGAAAGCTTTCATACACATTCGCCTGTGTTGAGCTAGCTCTCTAAATCAAGTTAGACACGGCCTAAAAAAGTTTTTATTTAAAAGTAAGTCTTAAAAGGTAAAATTGAATCTCTATAAAGTATTAAATTCCACTTTGTAAGTAGTTCCCTACCTCAAAACTTGAAGCAAACTTTTATTTTCTTTCCATAGCAAGTCTAACTCCTGTTTAACCCACGATACTTTTTTATTACTCATCTCTGCTCTGATCTTTTCTGATTTTTAAAAACCTTAGTTTTGTCTTATCTTAAACTCTATATAAATGGAATCATAAAGTGTGCGCTCATTTGTGTCCCGCTGCTTTCACTCGCTGTACTGGCTGCGACCTATATCCTTGTTGTGCCATGTGTATCAATAGTTCATTTCTTTTTTATTGGGGAGTTCTGTTGTATGAATTTACCACAATTCATTTATTCATTCATCTGTTTGGAGGCTTTAGGGTTGTCTCAGTTTTGGCCATCATGAATAAGGCTGCTTTGAATATTTGCTGTAAGCCTTTTTGTAGCTATTTGGATAACTATCTAGGGATGGGGCAGCTCAGTGTATAGGAAACCTTACAGAAAACTGGCAAACCTTTTCCCAAAGTGGCTGTACCACTTACATTCACTCCAGCAGCGTGTGAGAATTCTGGTTGCTCCACACACAGCACTAGCTGTCTGTCTTTTTTTTCCAAGCCATTTTAGGGGGGATGAAGTGACATCTCATTGTAGTATTAACTTGCATTTCCCAGATGACAAATACTGAGCAACTTTTTTACCTTCTCATTGGCCATTGTAAATCTTGCGTTGTGAAGTGTTTGTTCACATCTTTTGCTTATTTTTTAAAACTAGGCTCTTTTTATTTTAAAGCTTTTTACGGGTCTAGATTCAGGTTCTTTGTCACTGCTAATCACTATCAGGTTCATCTTGGAGTTGGTTTCTGCTGACTGCACTTTTTTTTTTTTAAAGGATGGGTCACATTTTCCTTTTTCTTACTAAGTGATTTGTTATTGGGTACTGGATATTCTAATACATTGTAGAGACTATGGATTTGGTTATATTCCCCTGAAATGTGATTTTTCTTCTAGCAGACAGCTTGGCTCAACTCATACGGACAGACTCTTGTCTCCCTTGTGCTGGGCAGCAGCTGAAACCTCTGCTCATTCCTGTCAGCTTCCAGCTGCCCTTAATTGCTGGGCTCGCTGTTCTCTTCTCTCAAATCATAGGTCAACATTCCCCTATGGTCTTTGACCTCTTTTTTTCCAAGATATAAGGACTCAGATTAAAAATAAATTAAATAAAAATGAAAACTAAGAGAAATCTATTTTGAAAAGAAAATGTGCTACTAAAAATCACAATGCAGTCCAAATGAAAATAAAATTTGGAACTGGAGAGCATCATGCTAAGCGAAATAAGCCAGGGGGCAAAAGACAAATACCATATGATCTCACCTATAAGCGGAACCTAACCAACAATGCAAAGAAGCAAGGAAAATATGACCAGCAACACTGAAAGGAAAAGAAATCAACAGAGACAAGAGGGAAGGGGGGGCAGGGAAAGGGAAGGGAAGGGGAAAGTCAAGGAACATATAGCAAGGACTCATGGACAAAACCAAAGGGGAAGAGCTGAGGGAGGGAAGGTGGAAGGGGGCAAGGGAAAGAGGTGGGGGGAAGGCAGAGACAAATGTATTTAAAAAAGTAAATAAATTAATTTTAAAAAAAAAATAAATAAATAAAATAAAAAAGGATGGATTTCTCTATTTAAAAAAAAAAAGATTAGAGGATAAACAAAACTGCTTTTCAAAGAAAGACATCTCGGAGAAGTAGTCTCTCCATGATAGATACTGTGATAAAAAAAAAAAAAAGAAAAAGAAAAAAAAATTTTAAATTATCTCTTTGTTCTAACACAAATAAATGAAGTTTACAATTTTCTAATTACTTTCTTTTTTTTTTAGCAGTTGCAGTAAAACTCAGTCATTTTTAATCTTGCCTTTGATCCGTAGTGAAATCCACTGTGAAACACAGTCAAAGCCACTTGGGCTCTTGGTACTCTTTTGTTAGAGTTTGTTGTTAGTGTCATGGAGCTGCTGCTAGTAGCCACCAGCAGAGGGCGTCAGTGTCATGTTCTAGAGACTCCTATACTCCCAATGAAAATTTTAAATTTTTATTTGGATCTATGGCATTTTACTCCCTATAGTAAATTATTTCTGTACTGTTTATGTATATAGGGACGACTTATTTTGGAGATTGAATGTCCAGTGCCATAATTACCTTACAGTGATAACTGAAAGAACAATGACTTTAAGAAAAATCTTGATCCATGCATTATATTACTGTCTCTGGTGTGGAGGGCAGGGCCCCATTGTGTTCACTAAGCTCTCTTTCAGATCTGGTCTTCTGTATACTGTAGTAGTAATAGGACGACTGAATTTCATCAGCTCTGGACAGACAGTTACTGAAGTCTCATATTCTTAGTATCCATCATAGTATAGAACATTATTATTTAATTGAAGTAGTATTTTGAGAATTTCAATACATAAAGGCAGATTGTCAAACTGGAATTTGTCCAAAGTACCATTCCTATATTAGGTGTCTTTCATTTTGATAATACCAAGTTCCTGTGATCACATGGTAGTAGCTGGATTGGTCTCACCTAATTTCAGATACACAGAGAAACCTGGAGAGATAGTGAGTAAGGAATGTGAATTCTTTTCTTTGATTATTTTATAATTATCTCAAAATGCTTGTATAAAAAACTATAAACCCTGCAGGTCAGCTGGTGGGAACGTGGACCTGGGGCTACTCTGGATGCTCTTAGTTGGGTTGCAGGGCACTGTGTAGGAAGTGGGTGGCAGAGCTCCTGGGAGGTTGTCTTGCTGGACCTCAGACCCAAGCAGGAGTCTTACTTAATCATCTGTGGTCCAGAAGGAAAGTGGATTTACCCTTCAGGCTTGTCCTAAGGAGTGCTACCTCTAAAATAAGACTTTGTCCCAGGGATGCATAACTTGCTTTTCTGGAACTTTTTAGCTTAGATTCAGTTCCCTATATCCACCCCTTCCTCCTGTATCTAAATAAAAATGTACACAGCTGTACTTTGTAAACAGACATATACTTATTAGAAGAAACAAAACACCTAAGTGTTTACTTAATTATTAACATAGTAACTTTTATTTTCACCCTTTTTTTTACAACTGTCTTTTTATGTACTTTTTACTTTTTGTATCTTACTATGGATATACAGCTTTTCATAGATTCGGTTTGTTCCATTTAGCTATAATTATTCTCTTTAATGTTCCATTTGTGACAGCCTGGCTAATCTCAAACTGGCTTCTTTGTTCTTTGAGCACTATCCTGGGCCTTAAAAAAAAAAGTCTTGCTTTGTGATAAGATATTCCAGACCCATCTCGATTATTTTCCTGCCCTAAGACATGGAACTAGTACTCTCTGAGAATCTTGGCTCCTTTTACTGGAGGATAGTATAAAATCTTTTCTTTATTTTTAACCTCACCCAAGGACATACTTACTGATTTTAGAGAGGGGGAAGGGAGGGAGAAAGAGAGGGAAAGAAACATAGATGAGAGAGAGAGAAACATTGATCAGTTGCCTCTTCCATGCACTCAGCTGGGGACCAAATCTGTAACTTAGGTATGTGCCCTGACCTGGAATCAAACCCATGATCCTTTGCTTTACAGATGATGCTCCAACCAACTGAGCCTCAGTGGCCAGGGCTGAAGTATTTTCCTGAGAACAAATTAATCTTGAGGGAGTTTGTATTTCTGTAAGCAGCACTTCAGCCCTTTCCAATGTGGTAACTTATTTTGCCCATCATATAATTTAGACACTCTCAGATCTTTTAATTTGTTTTTCAATAATTTTCTATTTTCTATAATATCTCTAAATCTCTAAAAAGATGTACTTATACAATTCTCTTCTAAAAATGTATTAGCCTCTTCTGAAAAAAGGAAAAAGAGTCTTGTCCTATAGTTGAAATGTAGTGGTGTTACTTGCCTTAAATATATACAACATCACACGTACAAAGGGGAGAGTACCAACTTCCCTTGCGAAGCATCCTCCACTTCACAAAGAATTCACTTTTGGATTCCTTTAAATAATACATTCTGGTATATACCTATTCTTCTGTAATAATCTTTCCTTAACTTGTATTATATGACTTATAGGGAAGTTTCTGTGGTATAAAATCAGTAATACCCATATTCTAAATTTCACATCTAATATATTATCAATCATTTATACTAATTTATTTGTTTATTTGGATAAGAGGCCAACCATTAGGTAGTAGGTAGATTGACAGTAACATAGCCTTCCTTAGTGGACTAAGAACATTGACAGTCAATGAAAGTATATTAATTTAGAAATTGTATATTAATTTAGAGCCTACAGTTACTAATTTTCATGGTAACAGGGAGTTAACTATAGCTACCTGTGCTCTGAATGTCAAACTTGCATGCATTTTTTAAGGAGGCCATTCCTTCTTAACCAAGCCAAGAAAGACATGTGATTTAAAAAAAAAAAAAAGTTGGTGAATTATATGTAATGGTTGTATTTGTAGGCAGAAAATGATTAGATATAGGCAATTTAATAAATTTAACTTAATACATAAAAGTTCTCTTGTGCTGGCAATTATGTTTACATAATATTCCTAATTGCATAAAGATGGGTTGATGTTTATGATTTGTGATGGTCCCCCTTATTAGAGGTCTAAATTTGTAAGAAATTATTTCATCATTGAAAATATTTTTATTGCCTTTATTTGTATAGCACCTAATTTTTAAACCCCTTTGACAGACTGCCTTGATAAAATGAAGGGAATTGTTCATTGGTTGCGTCACTATCAGTTGAAGTAGAGGTCTACAGCTGTGGTTTGTAAACTACAGTAGCTCCCCCTTATCTGTGGGGGATATGTTGTAGGGCCCCCCAGATGCCTGAAACCTCAGATAGTGCTGAGCCCCATGTATACAGCATGGTTTTCCTATACATAATACCTGTGATAAGGCTTAATTTATAAACTAAGCACAGTAAGAAATTAGCAATGATAACTGATAAACTAGAACGGTTAGAACAATACCCTGTAATAAAAGATGTGTGAAGGTGGTCTCTCTCAAAATACCTTGTTGTACGCGCAGCAGGAGTACACTGGACAAGGAATGAGTCACGTCCCGGGCGGGATGGGGGGGTGTGGCACGAGACGTAGCTGAAAACACAGCAGACCTCAGTGTATATGTTTGGTACGTACTCTCTCAGGATTTACATGCTGGCGTTTAATTCAGATTTTTAAAACATAGTTTGAATACTGCTTCTGAGCCAGGACTTTGTAGCCTCTTCTCTAGATCTTCAGTAAGTCTGGAGCTCAGAGTCAGGCCCAGTATTAAATGTCTACAAAGCACACATCTTTTTGTAACCTGTCATTTACGCTCCGTTTCATTTTCAGAATTCCTTTTCAGTCAGTTGCAATTCTTTTACTTGTTCCTTGAAAGATTGTGTCATTTCTGAATGAAAGCAGTTGAGAAGAAGAAAAATCGTTTTGATCTGAGGATGTCTAATGCTTTTTCCCTCCTTGAAAGAGGCTTTCACAAAAAGGCCTAAATCTGAGAACTGAGAAAATCTCCACTGCCAGAGATTGACTGAGCGGGAGAGAGGCCGGTGCAGCATTTGGGGTCTCAGAGGTTTTGTTAAAAAACAAATGCTGTTACCCATTCCTCGGTGATTAAAATTATTTGGAACTGAGTCTTAAAGTCTTCAGTCAGTGTTATACTTTGCATATGTCCATGTGTTACGCTGTTAAAGTTTCTGGGAAATAGGCAGTAGGATACGGTAACGATCTGAAGGAACTACTTACCAGTGAGTTCATTATCATGTTAGAGAAGAGGATTTTGCTGTTTGGCTTTCTAGGTAGCCTAGGTTTATAAAGCAGCATTGAAATGTTTTTTATTCCTCCCCCTCTCTTCTCCCAACCCTCCTTTCTTTTTTAGGTTTTCAAAACAAAAATAGAGTTGCAATCTTGGCCGAACTGGACAAAGAGAAAAGAAAACTACTAATGCAGAACCAATCTTCAACAAATCATCCTGGAGCTAGGTACTAAAGAATAATGTGGTTTTCATGTTCAGTGACATAAAAAAATATCTTGGACAAAATAATTCAAGTTCGTTGGCAATGGTTTATTTATCATTGAAATCCATGTTGTTTTGTTTCCTAGTTAGAATTGAAAAAAATGTCAATTTAATTGATTAAATTTTAAACTTTTTAATTCTAATTAGAATATTTTCCCTAGAGCCTACTTTTAAGAAAATGGGTTTGTATGATTTTTATTTATTATTAAAATTATTCCACTGTCCCATTTTTAAGCATTCTGCAGAGTAGATAAATTTAGGTAGCTTAATTAATGCTCTTTATTGTGCAGTACTCAGTTTCTATCATCTTAACTCTCTTCCCCAGATCCATTATCCCATCCACCCACCACCCTTTACTCACCTCTGCTTTCTCACTTATTTCCTCCTCGACCCCCTACAATCTGACAACCAGGTGTCCCTTTCGCCCTACCTAGAATAGGCTTGAGCCTGGTTCACTTGCAGCCTCCTTGTGGCTAAATCTGGTAGACCCAAGTCCTTTTCTTGTTAGAGACCTTAGTAGTATTTGTCAGCACTGATCACTCTCTCCTTCTTAAAATACTTTCCTAGGCTTCCATTCACTCTGTTATTCCACTACCTTGCTTTGTTTTGCAAACATTTCTCCACTGCCCGCCTCTTGAATGTCAATGTTTCTCAGAGTTCTGTTCTAGACCCAGTTTCCCAGCCTGCATCTTTGCACTGGAGAGCTGCCTCCCCTTTCACAATCTGTTAATGATGGGTAGATAATTTTTACACATTTGCACCTTTAACTCAGCTCTCTCACACCAGCACCAGGCTGCCTCCTGGACATACCCACTTCGATGCCTACAGGTATTTCAAACCCAGTATTCCCCAAACTGAACTCATCGTCCCTTCCCTCTCTTTACCCAGCTACTTAATATTCTTTCGTATCTTGTCTCAGTGAGTGGTACATATTTACTAGTTATCAGAGTCAGAAATGTGAACTTGAATTGTATATCATTCCCTTTCACTTCCATCTCGAAGCACTTAACCATTCTCTTATGTTTACACTTTGAAATGTGTCTCAGATCTGTCCCATTTTTCTTCATTGCCCTGCTCCTGGCATTGTCACTTCTTTCCTCAATTACCAGGCCTGCTTCCTCCCTGCGTTTCCCTGTAGTCTCTCAGTTGTGTCCGAAAACGCACAGGGCTGCCGTAAACGTCAGGGCACGTGTTAACCGGGACGGTGAAGATAGGGTGGTCAGCGCAGCCTGAGGCAGTGGCACGGCCGTGCCAGCAGTGACCCAGCGTCCTCCCATCTTTCCTTTCTGCCCACTGTCTGGGTCTGCGGCTCCCTGGTGGTCACAGTGTGACTGCATATCCTCGGCCTCCACACTGAGCCACCTGTGGGGCCAAAAGACAGGAGGTTCCTGTCCTACATTCCTTTTTTAAAAGTGAGGAAACTATTCTCAGAAGTCTTCCAACAGCCTACCCATCAAACCTAGTTGCTTAGAATCGGGTACCTTTCTCTTGCCTAAGCCAGAAACCAGCAAGGATGATGGCATTTCTTACACCAAAGTTCACCCCCAAGGGAAGGGCCAAGCCTGCCCTGAAGCACGGGACTGTTGATAACTCAACTAAGTTTGGGTTTCCCATTAGCAAGGAAGAAGAGAGAGAACACAGTTGTTGAGGAGACCAGCGCTGTCTGCCGTTGCTGTGGTCTTTCCGAACTGCCACGCGGTGCTTTTGGTCATGTCACTCCTCTGCTTGCAACTTTCCTCAGAAGCCCCCCTTTACTGATAGGATACGGTCTACATTTCTTAACTTACTTCAGAAGGCTCTCATATCCTGGCACCTGCCTTCCTCCCCAGCCTCATTTTTTGCCAACCCACTTCACCCCTCCCCACCCCTGACCTACTGAGCTCCTTCCTTGGCTTCCATTCACTCTGTTATTCCACTACCTTGCTTCCTTCTGCAAACATTTCTCCACTGCCTGGGTCTTCAATGTCAATATTCTTCTGACACACCAAGCTCTTCTGCCCTGGGACTTTTTGCATACGATACCTTCTGCTTGAAACATTCACCTCTTCAATTACCATTATAAATGTAACTTTATGATAGACTGGAGTACCTCAAATCTGTTTGAAAGTAGGGGGCCATAAATCATGAATGGAAAGGAGATAATGTGAAGCCCCAGTAAATAACATAGGCTTTCTTCATGTACATTAATGAAGACACTAGGAAAAGGAAAAATGTGTTCTGGAAGGTCTTTTTTTATCCCTATATATTATATAATGAAAAATGTGATTCAGAATTAAGGAAGCGTGTGCCTTCAACAGCCATGTAACTAAGATTCCCATTTTAGCATTGCACTTTCGAGACCTGCCCTTAATAAGGACTTCCGGGATCATGCTGAGCAGCAGCATATTGCCGCCCAACAGAAGGCAGCTTTGCAGGTGAGCAAAGTGTAACTGACATTCTTGTCTCATTGGAGATTTCTGTCTCATTGGAAGCCAGCACAATTCCCATTTTGTATTTCAGTGAAGCAATATCAATAAAAATGTTCCACACATAATTGCAGTGGTTTGCTGATGTTCAGTTGTGCCCAGAGGATTTGAAGGACCAATATAGCAGTAATGAAAATATCTTTTATGGTGTTGACATGGTCATGATTGATTCTGTGCTGTACCTGGCAAGGGATTGCTTGTGCATAGGAGAGTTTAGCGTATCTGGATGGATAGAATGATCTTAAAAGCTGAACTGGCTAGTTAGAGAGAGAGAGAGAGAGGGAGAGGGAGAGAGAGGGGGAGAAGGTGGGGGCGAGAGAGAGAGAGTTTTCAAATTTGTCGTGCTGTTGTGTGGATTCTTTTTTTAATGGTCCGTATGACTGTTGTGCAGGAAATGTTTAAAGACTTAACGTCTTTACCATAGGAATGTGATATCAGTTTAAAAAATATATTTCCTTCATTGTAATAAACAGTGTGGGTGATTGTGGATAATTTAAGATTCCCAGAGACATCATTATCTATGCTTTTAAACCTTAGAATTTCAGAATTAGAAGAGACATTAAAGATCATCTCATTTTAGACAACCTAAAAACAGTCTTCCTTTCTTTAGTGACAGAGGAAGTCACTCGTGGTTTTCTGTTATTTACATTCCAACATTCAGCTGCCTTTTTCTCCCTTTCCTTCCAACTGCTGCCCTTCTTTCTCAAACTCCTGGTTTGCTGATCAAAACCAGAGTACTTTGGGACCATGGTTGCTAGTTTCTCCCGACTTTAAGGAACAAAGTACATAATTTGTGCTTTTGACTGGAGAGAATCACTGGGGAGAAAGTGTACCAGGAGTACCTGGTGCAGCTTGTTAATATGAATTCTTTATTGTTGTCCATCTCCTGTGTATTTAAACAGAATTAGCACAAGAACTGATTTTAAAAATAAATTTCGTCTCAAGTACTCAGAAAAGGATAAGTAATTTTTATGCCTTCATTGAAGAATTATGAGTCTTAATAGCTTAATTGCTTTTTTTTTTAAACTCTTTCCCAGCATGCACATGCACATTCATCTGGATACTTCATAACTCAAGACTCCGCATTTGGGAATCTTATTCTTCCTGTTTTACCTCGCCTGGACCCAGAATGAAGAAATTATTTGTAATGAAATTGACTTTGTAACATCAAATGCCAAAGCTACTATTGTTCAGTGCTATACAAGCTGTGACTTGTAGAATTTGGTGAACTTATATATATTGCTTCTTTAAAAGAAAGGTATGTGCAAATGAAAGGAAAAAAGGGTTAACCAGGATGATGAGAGCTTTGGAAGCTGTATTTGAAGGCTGATTATGTATTTGAAGACGTGACTGTAACTTATTTGTAATGCAGTTTGATTTCAGGGCTAAATCATACTGAATTATATGGTCACATACACTCACTCCTCCAGCTCCTGACTAGTTGGACTGGGTACACCATGCCCACAATAGACTTTTAAGAACCATTTATATAGTACTTTAAAGAAATGAGGGTGCTTTTTAAAAATGTGAACCAAAAGGCTTAAATAAGTTACATTCATATTTGCTGTTTATAGAGTTGATATCAGTGTACCTTTTGAATTTATAGTCAACATATCATCCTGAAATAATACTCTTTAACTCATAACTAGTTTCCTTGTTCTGAACTTTAAAAGAAAAACCCAAGACTAATGTACTAGTCAGTCTGACAAATCATTTATAAACCTATATGCCAGTATAAATTAGGTGACTAAATGCTATTAAAAACAATTATATGAAATGTGGTGGTTTTAAATTTTATGCGTGCTCTTATTTAGTGTTACTACATGAATAGTGTGCCTGCGTGGTTTTCCCGTCCATTTTTGTTCTAATTAAAAACGTATGCCAGTTGAGCCCCCTTTTAATTACTGTGAGGGAGTTAGGTTAAGCAGTCTCTCAGCATGACACATCTTGAACAGAATCTGGAGTGCTTATTTAAATATCCCCACTACCTTCTGCTAGTCCTACAGAACCAGAATCTCTTGATTTGAAATAAAATCTGAAAATAATGGGTTAGAGAATTCAGTTGGCACGATATATAGGGTCTAGTGCAAATAACACCCCCTTTTTATTACAAAATCATAAGCATATAATTCTGCAACATAAAAATATCACACTCAAGCACACCATGACATTTTAGGTGAAATGTTCACATTAAAACTATAAATTATTGCACCCATATTATTACCCTACCAACCATACTCAAGTAGGCATTACTTCTGTCAGACCCTGTATGTTTATAAATTGATAGATTTGTAGGTTCCTGAAACTTATAGGTCATTTAGCTAAAATCTCCTTTATTTTATTTCTAATAGGATTCAAATTTTATTTTATACTTTATCACAGATACAGCATTTTATATAACTGCTTATAACTGACCTCATCTAGGCCTTGAGTCCCCAACCTCTGTAGTGGTAGGATAAAATTTAAACTTAAAATTCCAGTTAGGGTCAATATTTACTCAAAGTTCATCTCCCTTTTCAATAAGTTTCTTCTCCCTCCTTCCCTAGACAATTGCCACCAACCACATTGCCCCATGTTACCCAAACTACAGCAGTAGTGGACAGTTCTAGACTTGGCTGTGCCATTTCGATCCTTTCTCTTGAGGATTTGAACTGATTTTCTTCACCTGATGAGTCGGCAGCTGCCCCCATTGTAACGGCTGCCATCACAGCCAAGGGGCCCGTACTCCCCAGGGACTGTGGCTCCTGTCGTGCCTCAGGTCTCTCCAGCCTCCTTACAGTGGGCCTCATTTTCTTGAATTAATTTGACTAAGTTTCTGTTCTTCGTGATGCATGACCTAAATCTGTGGTTCTCCATCTATCTACTTGATGCTGGGGAGAGAGAAAATTTGGATTGTGTTTTTTATACTATCAAAGCCTCTCACTAATGCAGGACTTTTATAATTTAGGTTAAAGAAACCTTTTCTTCCAGTGATACCTTTTCTAATATCTTAGCCTTTTCAATTTAGGACGTTGCCTAAATCTGCAGTCCTGGCTAGTAAACGACTCCCTCCCACCCAAGTTACTTTCAAATTCACTTCAGTTCCATATGTATTGATTAGTAGCTATTCTATAAAGCACTGTGCTTTGGGGGGAAATGGTGAGTGACACCTGCTCCCTAAGGAGGTAACAGCGCAGAAGGGCGCTGTGGCGCAGCAGTGATGATCAAGGAAGCCAAGACACAGTGAGTGGCGTGGGAGGGGCACCCTGGAGCATGCAGCAGTGTAGACAAGCCTAGAAGTGTCGGCGTGGCTTTTCCTGGCAAGGGAGAGTAGAGCTGCTTCAGGCAGAGCTCAAGATTTCATAATCAAAGAGAAGAAGGAACTAAGACACTGGCGAGGACCACAGAGGATGTTGGACAGGGCAGCAGTGGGCTCAGTCACACTTCCTGAGGTGAAGTTTCATCATTGTTTCCCTCGGGCTGTGAGTAAATGTGCCTCACGTGCTCAACCTCTCTTTACATGTCACTCCATCCCGTCTGTAATACAAGAACAGAACACTCCATCTACATCAGAGTGATACAGCATGTAGTAATGGGAGATTTTGTTCCATGAATCTGTTTCTGTGTGTTTGTATATGTGTTTCGCTTATTTTATCTTCCACCAGCATGTAAGATCTCTGAAGGCACAGATTTTTGTTTCCCACCTTCTTTCCCCCACTCCTTTTCCTCTCTTCCAGCCTCCTTGGTTATTACTGTTTTCTGCCTAGGATAGTATTTGGCATACAGCAGATGGTCAGTACCTACTTACTGAAGGAAGGAAGGAAGGAATATATAGATATAGAACCTGGGTGGTGATATAAAGGGGTTTTTTTCTTTTGTTTTCTGTGAGTCCTGATAATAAAGTTTTGAAAGCCACTACTAAATACTACAGATGATAGTGCTCTGTATGATTCTGGAATAAAAACTGAAATGACATAATTTCAAAGGCAGGTATTTTTTTCCTGAACAATCTATAAGCCGTCTTGATTAAGTTGTCTCAGTTCTTTGCTTCACTTTGGCAATATATGAGTTAAACTCAGCCTTTATATGAGTTTAAGGCCTATTGAGATAGGGTTGTGGCAACAGAACAGATCAACAGAGAGAAGATCAATTCATTATTACAGGTCACCCTCACTGCCGAATCCCATCAACTAGCACAAGTGCTGTTTCAACTGCATTAAGCTTAGCCAGTATTTACTGAGTGCTTTTCTTACTTTCTTCTGTGCACGAGTGTACAGTAGATGCTGGGATTTTTTTTTTTTTTTTTTTTTTTTTTAATGAGCAAATAAGGAATGAACATGGATGGATGAAGAGACCTTCACTGTCCTCAACAGTTTGATAATCTGACCTCCAGACTTCCGGCCAAGATGGAAGCATAGGCAGATATACTTTGCCTCCTCGCACAACCAAAAGAAAGACAACAAATTTAAAAACAAAAAATCAGAACTGCCAGAAATTCGAATCATATGGAGGTCTGACAACCAAGGAGTTAAAGGAGAAACATTCATCTAGATCAGTAGGGGGGGCGGAGACAGGCATCTAGGGCAGAGAAGATGTGGGACAAGGCAGCGTCTGGAGGACTGGGCAGGCCAGGGGGCAGCTGGAGGACTGGGTGGTCCCACATTTATGTGCAGATAAACCAGGAGGAACAGCTGGGGAGTAAGACCGTGCAACCCAGGGTTCCAGTGCACAAAAAGAAAACCTCAAAACTTCTGGCTGTAAAAATCTGTGGGGGATATGGCAGTGGAAGAAACTCCCAGCCTCATAGGAAAGTTCGTTGGAGAGACACACGGGGTCCTAGAACATAAATAAGCCCACCCACCCAAGAATCAGTACCAGAAGGGCCCAATTTGCTTGTGGGTAGCGGAGGAAGTCAGTGAAAGCCTGCCAAGAGCCAAGCAAGTGGCATTGTTCCCCCTTGGACCTCTCCCCCACATTCAGTGTCATAATGCAGCGACCTGGTTTGCCCCACCCTGGCGAATACCTAAGGCTCTGCCCCTTCCAATGTAACAGACATTCTGAGACAAAGAAATATGACCTAAATGAAAGAACACATTGAAAGCTCCCAAAACAACTAAGTGATGAAGAGAGAGCCAACCTATCAGAGTCAGAATTAAAAACACTAGTAATCAGGATGCTCACAGAAATGGATGAGTATGGTCACGAAATTGAGGAAAAAGTGAAGGCTACACAAAGTGAAATAAAAATATACAGGGAAATGGTAAAGAGAAGGAAACTGGGACTCATATCAGCGATTTGGAGCAGAAATGGAACATTCAACCAGAACAGAATGAAGAAACAAGAATTCAAAGAAACGAGGAGAGGTTTAGGAACCTCTGGGGCAACTTTAAACATTCCAACATCCAAATCACAGGGGTGCCAGAAGGAGAAGAGGAAGAGCAAGGAATTGAAAACTTACTTGAAAAAATGAAGGGGAACTTCCCTGATCTGGTGAAGGAAATAGACTTCCAGGAGATCCAAGAGGCTCAGAGAGTCCCAAAGAAGTTGGTCCCAAGGAAGCACACACCAAGGCAAATCACAATTACATTACCCAAGATTAAAGATAAGGAGAGAATCATAAAAGCAGCAAGAGAAAAGGAGGCAGTTACATACAAAGGAGTTCCTGTAAGGCTATCAGCTGATTTCTCAAGAAACCTTGCAGGCAAGAATGGGCTGGAAAGAAGTATTCGAAGTCGTGAAAGGCAAGGACATCCCAGATTACTCTAACCAGCAAAGCTATCAGAATAGAAGGACAGATAAAGGGCTTCCCACGTAAGGTAACGTTAAAGTTCATCATCACCAAACCCTTATTATATGAAATGTTAAAGGGACTTATCTAAGAAAAAAAGATCAAAAACTATGACCAGCAAAATGACAACAAACTCACAACTATCAACAACTGAACCTAAAACAAAAAAACAAACTAAGCAAACAACTGGAACAGGAACAGAATCACAAATGGAGATCAGAAGGGAAGGGAAAGGGGGAGAATGGGGGAAAATGTACAGTGAATAAGCAGCATAACTAGTAGGTACCAAATCAGCAGGGGGAGGTTAAGAATAGTATAGGAAATGGAGAAGCCAAAGAACTTATATGTATGACCCATGGACATGAACTAAGGGGGGGGGAGGGCATGCTCCCAGAGAAAATGCATTTAATAGAGCTAAGCTACCAAATGTCATGCCTTAGCTTAGTCTACCTTAAACATGCCCGGACCACAATATCCAAAACTCTCTTGGCAACACAGTGCACTGCAGTGTTGGTTCTTTCCCCTTTTGATCGTGTGCCTGACTGGGAGCTGACTCCCCATGACTCCCTGCTGTGAGGAAGCCCAAGCTGACCACATGGAACGGCCATATGTGGAACACTGGGCTGCCAGACACATGAGTGAAGCCACTTTGGACCTCCCTTCTCAGCGCAGCCAGCAGCTGAGTGTAGCCAAGTGAGTGACCCCAGTTGATGCCACAGAGAGCTGAACTGCCAGGCTGAGCAGAATCCCACAGAATTGTAAGAAATAATAAATCATTGCTGTTTTAAGTCTCTGAAGTTTTGGGGTAGTTTATTATGCAACAAAAGATAACTGGAATACCCTTAATCTCCAAACTCCCATATCCACTGTCAGCATGACATCTGCACTTTGAAATCTAATAGGCATCCAAATATACCACATTTTGCAATATATAATGTACACTTTTTTGCCCAAATTTTT